AAGAGGCAAGGGAAATTCCTGGTTTCACACACTGCACTGCTATCAGCTTCCACAAGATGTGCTGATGGCCACCCAACAAGGGTGAAAACCGACCTTACTTTTAAGCAGCTATGGATGTAGCAACTACAGTATGTCTTCTTTTCATTTTTTTGCTCTAGAGCAGGTACAAAGGAGCTGATCTGGATTGTAAAGCCCCCCTCCAGTCCTCAGATAGGGTCCCTGTCTGATCCAAGACCCTGCACCTTCTCTAGAGTCAAAATGAAAACAAACCTCTAGCCGAAAGACTGTGCATTTAAAGTAAGGTCCGGTATGGCCCTTAGATGACTTCAGAGGAGGATTATATAATTTCATGGATGATAAAGCTATGAGAGGTCGCTGGCCGCAATCACTGCTATATACCCCCTCCAGCCTCTGCGTACCAGCTAGGGGTGACAGCAGTAGAGGGGTACGGTGCATGTGTCCTCCTTGTGGGTTTCCCATAGGTGTCTCTTTGGCCACTGTGAGAAACATAAAAGGAGCCATGCTGGAGCAGAGGAAGGGTCCCGCTCATCCGGCATCCTCCTTGCCAGGGGTCCACAGGGGCCCACGAGAAGGAACTGAGTGCTGCAGCCTACCGCTCCCCATGCTCCCTGCAGCTGGTGTGCAGAAGCATTCTGCCGAACCAGACAGGCCTTTCCTTAACTAACCTGGAAGGGAATGCTTGTTTATCACAAGCACGCTGCCTAAAGAGCACAGTGTGCCAGGACGTGACTACCCACTTGTTTGTTCTTGCCTGCCATGTTTGTATCTGCTTTTCCTTCTGCCTTGTGTTGTCTTCTTGTGTTCCTTTGATCTTGCATTATCTGCTTTCTGCCTGCTCATCCACTGACTGCCTCATCTCCACCTCTCCACAAACTGCTCAGCTCTTGTTATTTCAGAACTGGTCTCCATAATATTCCACCCACCTTCCATGGTATATGAAAAATAAAAAAGACTTTCACTGGGAAGAAAATGGGTGGGTGGGCAGAGAAGAGAGAAATGGAAGGCTCAAGGGTGCTGCTCTGTCAGGCTTGATAGAACATCTCACCTATTTTGCATCAGAGCATGGGACACCTGAAGGGATGAATTCAATACAAATCCATCATACTGTGGTTGGGAAGAAACATTTAGGCTTTCAAGGCATGGGGTGCCTGATGAGCAAAGCCAAAGTTGAGCTGCTGGCTGTCTATCACTTAGCATGCAGTGATTCCATTTATGCTGATGTGCTTCGTATTTTACAAAGAGCAAAGGAATTCATAAGGCAGATGGAGTGTTTTAACTTGCTCTTCTAGAGTTTGGGATTGCCTAAGAAGCCAAACAGGGAATACTGCTGCATGCAAAGTGGCTCGGAGACTAGACATATTGAGATAGATCTGAAAGAGGACCTGCAGGGGCTGAAAAGGAAACACAGTTTTGAGATAGGGACATAATACATCAGTTGATTGGAGTTGGAGGAGCACTGGAAGAAAGAATGATGTTAGCGTCATCTTAGGTATCTCTTCATAAATTAAATGCTCATTGTGAGCAAGAGACCAGATAAACTGGTGCTTTCAAAACACCACTGTGCATCTGGATTCATTCTAAGAACTGGCACTAAGAGTCTAATCATCTTTAGTGCAGGATCTTGGGGAAATGGCCTTTATGGATTAGAAAACAGGTGGAGAACCAGAGTCCGGGGGCCAAATACAGCCCTCCTGGAGTATCCCGAAGGCCATGCGCCCTTCCCCAGGGCCTATCCCCTTTCTCCTGACTGCTCCTTTGGTGTTTTCCTGGTTTTTGTGAAGTTTTGCCCCCATTTGAAATAGCTGAAAGGCATCTTCTAAGCCTTAGCTATTAGCATTAAGAGCTTTAAGTCCCCAAGAGCGTTTCCAAATTGGAATTTGGCATTCAGGCTGAAAGAGGTTGGATGTCTCTGCTTTAGAAGAACAGCATCTCTATTACTGCAAAATTGCTAACCCCTTCTCCAGGGGATCTGTTGGCCACATATAGGTACGTGAGGGGGTGTCACACAGAGGTGGGTAGAGACCTGTTCTCCCCTGCAGAGAAAGGCAGGATGCGCTCCAAAGGAGCCAACACAAGGAACCAAGGTTCAATCTGGATGCCGGGAAGTACTTCCTGACCCCCAGGGTATGGAATGGGCTTCCACAGGAGGTGGTTGAAGCCCCATTGGTGAGGGTGTTCAAGGATAGGCTAGACATGCACATGGTAGGCATGTCATGAGTGGAGCCGACTGGAGCTGGGGGTCAGACTAGATGGCCTGGGAGGCCTCTTCTGACTTGCTCTGTTTCTATGTTTCCACATGTTGAGCAAGAAGGCAGGACTTCTCATTGCACTGAAAAGGCAATGAGGCTAGGTCACCTGTTTTGAACCATGCTCCACTGCAGAAGCTCCTAGTCACAGATTATTTTTCTGTAGTGCACATTTTTCTGAACATTAAGGGCTGCAGCTTTTACACACAGGATCCCCTTCCCACAGCTGCCAGGAGAGGCACATGTTCCCACCAGGAATAACCACAGACCAGGTATGCATTGATTCTACTGAGATAAGAGAAAACTTTCAGGCCCGCTATCTCACAGTCAGCACAACACAGGTGGATTATGCATTTTTGACCTTACTGCACAGATAAAAAGGAGAAGGAGTCCCTTTAGGTTAGATCATATTTTACCCAGAAGCATATCATGGGACAGACAGGTCAGTCCAGGCTCACAGTTGTGCTTTTCTGTGAGAAGCAGCAACTTCAATTTGAGGACGCTGCTGCCAATTAATCAGATGTGCACATGTTTATATAAGAATCTGGAAAGTATTGTAAGGAGTAGCCTTTCTGAGTATTGAAAAGATCAGCACCTGCTATAGTACTTGGCTGATTTGGAATCTGACCAGCCAGGCAGAACCTGAAAGTGTTGGCTTTAGGGCATGGATATTTTGGAGCCAGGCTCAGATTCTCATCCCAGTTATGAAGCTCACTTGGGGAAAGGCTTAGTGCATAAGGTTCTTATAAGGATCAAATTGGCAAATGTGCCACCTACATAGTGATAAAAGGAATTGTATCACCAAGGAAGAGGACAAAAGGATTCATCCATTTTTCATAACTTTGCATGATCAACTGTATATGTATAGGAACATATACATTTAGAAATAATAATGATAATTTCAATACAAACAAAGATACATACAAAAACAGATAAACAAGCAAAACAGTGATCACTGTGCTAGATCATGAGGAAGAAAAAAGATCTATTGACAGACAATTCCTTTAGGTCCAGCAACTTTCCACAAAAATCTACCAGTTCTCCAGAGCCCTTTACTAGGCTTAGAGGTGCAACACCTACTAGTGTCAAATTCATTCAGGGGGCACAATCATGTGGGTGAAGCCAGTGCAAAGGAGCCTCATTTGCTCTCCACTTGCTCTTAATCATGGAGTCATAAAAACCAAATAGAGCTTCTGTGTGGGAAGTGCCAGGATTCAAGCCAGGGAGCAGGTGTAGCTTTTAACTGCTATATAGCAGAAAAGCAATCGAGCAGCGGCTTTTTATCTTCCTCGAGTCTCTTCATCCTCCACATTCTTTCATCCTGCAAACAGTGCTTTTGCTTTTGCCATAAAAGAGACAGGAAGTGGGGGGGAGGGGTAACCGGGTCTAAAGGACATGTAGGTCAGCTGCATTCTCTTTTATTGCTGCTGCGGATATGTGGAAAGGCTATGCATTGTCTCCATGTTGTGACTGGACCATTCTCTCTGTGTGTCCTTTCAGTTGTTTGTATCCATTTTGATGCATGTTGCCTATTTACATGCCCAAAATCCTGACCTGGCTCAGCATTGCCCCTACAGCTCTCAACCCCTGTCCTTTACATATGAACTTATACCTTAGATTATGCATACCATATGGAAGGAATTCAACTTGCACCATGTTTCTGAGAAAAAGGCACATTGTGGGTTTCTGGAAATCTATTGAAAAGCTATGGGGGTTGCATAGAACAATATAGCAGAGTACAAATGAAAATATGTGCTAACCTAATTTGAGACTTAATGGAATCATCATTTTGTCATAAATATAACCCGCCACCCCCTGCATGCACATGATCTCACAGCCACACACACCAGCGTGCAGCTTTGCATTTGCCTTCTACTGAATCAGTGTGCCACGCAGTGGTTCTCTCATTAGGAAATAAAATGTGGAGGGATAATGCGCAGGAGTTGCAAGCAGAAACGGAGGAATCTTGGCAGTGTGCGGCGCATGTGCCAACGGCAACCTATCCAGCCCCCAAGCAAGCCTTTGCTTGTGGCTCACAGCACAACAACTGTTAGCTCGGCTCACTTTTGATGAGGTCATTTCACCCCTCTGGACACTAGCTAGAAAGTCATCACAGTCTACACAGCGAGTGGGACTTGCCAGTGAGTTTATTGCCCTCAGGGTTGTAAAACATCAGCCAAGGAAGGGGACAGATGGAGCAGGCTCTTTCAAGTCCAGTTCACTTCCACATGTGCTCACTCTATGTCTGCAGCATTCTACTGCCACATTAATGTGTGATTTACAAAAACTCACATAAAGCCAACGTTTAAATGCTTATATAAATAGATATTTTAAAATTATTTAAATGATTTTTTTCTCCAGACAAGCATTCCTAGACATGTTTTCTTTCAAAACACACATTTCTAAATGCATGTAAACCTGTGTGCAGGTGCTGAACTGAAACTGAATCACAACATTTGGAGACCTGCCACACACACTGGATAGGTGAGCTTCAGGCTGCATGGAAGATGAGGAGGAGCAGGTCAAGTATCTTTGCATCAGAATTCAGAAAGATTAATTTCTTCAAGCATCCTAGATCTGAACCATAAAATCTCCACTCCTGTGCTAGACCAAATGGAGATGTATGAAGAGCAGCCGAATAGAGATTTTTTGCCAATAAGTTGCCCTGACTGAACACAAAAGCCCCATAAAAATATTGTTCCTATATCTTACTCAAGGGAATGAAATACTTACAGCTTCCAAATTTTAATGGACAAGCATGGGCATCCATGGGAAAGTCTTCGAGCTGCATGGGACATTCAGCAGAGATGGTCAATCTAGCAGAAAGAAAAAGAGATTGAATTCAAATCTTTCTTTTGATCCAACACTTTATTCCTATACCATATGCACAGAATCATTTGTTTATTCCCTTGATTTCTAGGTTACCAAGAGAATCTTTAATAATTTCTTGATGATAGTTAGTGTTCTTGTCATTCATCTCAATTAACCTCTTCCTTGCTGTCTTGATTTTTAACTGGTTCTAACAACTTTGGGAGACTGTCCCAGCACTGATGTAAGCCATGCCCCAAAATGCTTGTGAAGTCAAGGGGAAAGGAACTGATTTCCCTTTGCCTACAAGTCCTAAAGACACAGCAGTAGCATTGAGTCGTGTTATCCTGGTACTGTGACAATGTTGGATACTGCTCAAAGAGGGAACTGCATATTACTTTTCCTCATCAAAATGTTTTAGGTAAAATTCTGACATTTTGCAAAGCATCAGTCCTACCAGGTAAAAAAACCCAGCATTTTGAATGGTGCCCAGATAATAAAGAGCACAGTTGTTAAGAAGACAAAGGCCCTGTTGGATCTGTCCATTTTCTCCCACGTTCTGATCACACAGTGGCTAACACTGGCTTCTTGCTCCAGGAAAACCCATGAATGTTGCAAGAAACTGCAAGCTAAGCCAATGTTGCATGATCAGACATTTCGACTGTACTGTAGTTACTGCATGGGGGAGTGTGTTTGTGTAACTGAGTGTGAGGCAGAATAGAGAGAGAAAGAGAGAAAGCATTATTTCTGTGCCTAACTGAATACATTTTACTTTTCAGTAACAATGCAAGCCATTACGAATGTGTGAATAAACCAGGAAAGTCAGTATGACTGCTGTACTGTCAGTGTGAAAAGAATCTCCTCTATTGCTCCTTGTGCTGCTTTGAGCTTCACGGAAGGGACAGCGCCCTGAACTGAAAGATGAGTTCAGGGTAATATGTCCAGCCCCTCAACCAAGCCAATCTATGTTTGTCCTACTTATAGCAGACCAATTGAAAAGAATGAAATGCGTATCTCTTCTGTGGGTGATCAAGAGAAGGTTTAGTTTTGCCTGAGCATGGAGCAGAGCACACATCAGAGTCGCCATGATGTCGCCACCCATAAACAACCTCCCACATGATGACTGACTGTCCGGCTGGAACTCGATCTTGTGATGGCCAAACGCAGGATGCTAATTTGGTGTGGAAACAAGCTGAGATCATCAGCAGTGTGCTGCTGGCTTATGAATCTTGGCTCATTTGGGAGCAATGACCAGGGCTCAGGCATCACAGTAAGCTGTGTCTTCCTGGTCAGTTTTAATTGCTTGCATGGAGGACAACATGCCTGGACTGGCTGTGTGCACCAGCGAGCTCCGCATTCCCGTTAAACCAAGAATCCTGTGAACAAGGTCAATGATACATTGTTTAACTTCCAAAATTCTGCCCGTTCTGCCAGGATTTAGCATCTATATCTGCCTGCCTTAATGTGATGCCATCCAGATGTTTTGACTACAATCCCTATCAGCCTCAGTCAGCAGGTCAGGAGATGGGAGTTGCAGAGAATATAAAGAGGGCACCAGGTTAAAGGTGGCTGGTCCATGCTTTGCCTACCCATGCACAGCATTACATGTGATTTAATACTGTGAAAGAAGCCTTAAGTACAGCTTCAGCTTCTGTACAAGTTTGACCAAGGGAAGAAATTCTGAAAGATGGCATTTGGACAGAGTTATGGTTCATGTAGTTCAAAGGCAAATTATCATGAGGTCAGAAACTACGCATTCATTCTCTCCCCCCCCCCCGCCCCCGAGACACCTAGCTACTTAAATTTAACAACAGAGTTGGGCTTATTTATTAATTTAGGAAAGCACTATATCCAGGGTTTTGCTAAAGGAAAATGCATATGTTATGGAATAAAACATTAGAGACACAACTCCAACTTTCTCTCACTGAATTTGGTGAGACCTACACATGCTTACCCTGAATTAACAAACACAGTAGCGTGTTTCCAGGAGTTTAAACTGGAGTGATAAACTTGTCATTCTCCAGTTTTGCACCTTTAAGGCAAAAAACTGTAAAAGGAACACAGCCAATGAAACGCTCAAAAGTCGCCAAATAGTTTTTTCATGTTTTAGTGGCTGCTCATATTTTGTGCACGCTCTTCTAATCTCATTTCCCTGCTTTGCTCTTGGCCAGCGTTCCTTCTTACACCTTAAGGGCTTCCACCTGGCCAAGCTTGCTTAGGCCTCCTTTGAGGAAGTGCGCAGCACCTGTTGGACTATAGCTATCCTGCCTCTCTTCTGGCTTTTCCCCATCTTTGCTCCAGAGTTCCTTTCTAGGCTGCCCAGGAGCACGGCCATGCCACAAGCACTCTGAATTCTGTATTTGGAGCTCCAGCGCCTTTCTTTCTCATAACCATAGTCTGTGCAAGTTTCCATACTTAGAAAAAGCGATCCTTCCTCCTTTGCTACTGCAGGACAGTGATGAGGCTTAATTACTATTTGTATGTGCTGTGTACTTTTGACAAGTGCTTTCAACACCCTCAAACAGCAGTAGCTGCATGTGGGCAAAGTCTTATTTTTACTAGGGCTAGCAGGTGTCTCCTTCAGTACGGTGGGTAATTTATCACTGTCATTGTGGCAGACTTTTGCTATGAGAGCTGAGCCAAATCCTGTAGTCCTGGGGTAGCCAAAGCACAGCCGATGGACACCACGATGCCCCCGGATATCACTCTTGGCACCCACCAGGTTCCCTGACCAGCCGTGATTTCTGTTTGATTGTTTAAGATGCTTCTAATTCAAAACAAGAAACTAGCCGTGAGGCTCAGATGCTGCAAAGCAAAGTGCCTGTCTGTACTTCCATCTGTACTTCCAAGGATGCCTGTGGGCCCCAGGTGGCTTTCTTGGCCAAGCTGCTTGTCCCTGAGCCTCAGCCATCTGTGCAGAAAATATGGGGTTTTTCAAAAAGTGAGTTTGCCTTTTGGAGTTCCTACACCAACTCTGCCTTGTGCTTGTTCTTGAGAGTTATTTTGTGTTTAGTCACAGCAATCTGCCTTTTGAGAAATGGATGTGTCCACCAAGACAAAAAGGTTGGAAAACTCTGCTTTATCTTACTGATGTAGAAAGAGCACACCAAGGCCCTACAAAACCACAAGAACTGGCTGCAAACCACATACAGGAAGACTAAAAGAAAAGGAGTCCATGAAACACATGGAGCACACCAGTCAGGGCAAAATTATATGAAAGCAGCTTCCTTATGCTGAATTCCCCTTCTGAAACATGTAGCAGTAGAACATTTCCCATAAGGTCCTGCTGCCATCACATATTCTCCCAGCTCCTCTCACCATCACTGGCTGCCATTGGCTCACATAAGAAGCCACCCTCCCTGAAACCCCCGTGTGGGTAGAGTTTCTTAAAGGACCATGAGCCCTGTTCTTCTTTTGCTGCCAGCTGTCCTAAATCAAAATATTCTATACAATGGAATGCATGCAAATGCACAGATACTAATCTGTTTGCTAAATTCCTGGATCTGCTTCTGAATCTCATTGGTTTGTTGTTACAACTCTTGGCCAGTACGAAAAGCGTACCATCTGGAAGGATGCATTTTGGAACGTAAGAAGGGCTGTGCTGGATCAGAGAAAGGCCTTGCTGGCCCAGCACACAGTGGGCCTCTAGATACCTTTGCGGAGCCCACATGATGGATGCGTACACTCTCCTGCTCAAGTTCCCCGGCAAGTGGTATACTGAGGCATACTGCCTCCATACGAGAGGCGATGCATAGCCGTCACGACAACTAGTCAGTCATGACTGGTTGATCTGTAGCCTGCCTTCCATTAGGACAAATGGCGCCCAGGTGCCTTGCAGTCATAAAGAACCTTGATTAACACAACAATAAAACAAACACAACTTGATAGCATTGTCTTCCATGAATGTGCTCAGGCCATCCCTTTAAAGCCCACAACTTGCATGACCTTTGTTGAGAGGCTACTACAAAATCCTTAGAGCAGCCCAGGAGGGGCTGCTACCCTTCCTATGAAGAAGGAAAGCTGTGCATTCATTGTAGTCACACAACCATCAACGATCGCTTCTGCAAATCATTTGCTGCACACTACATTTATGCAGGGCCAGCAGCAGACTGCAGCCAATAACTAGTCATTGGTGTCTGCAGATGGTCAAATCAGTGAGGTGAGTGGGGATTCTTCTTGAGGGAAAGATTTCCATGAAAAACATGCACTGGGCAACATCCCATGTCCGTGCTCTGCTAGCGGAAGCAACTGCCAGCACGACAGGGAGTGAGCATGATGTCCAGCTAAAATGTGGAGTGTGTTGTACTACAGCATTTAAGGAGTGATCCTATGGCTGCTCAGCAGAGGCCCTGAGGCAGCATATGTGGGGTCATGGGACCTTTCGGTGGGGGGAACCGCTCTGCTCTTAAAGCTCCAATCTTGGAGTCTTTATTTTCATTCTTTTCTGATGTTGGAGCTCTCTCCCGGACCTTCCCAACCATTGATCCTCTAAGGTCTGAACACTGACCTTGTAAGCAGGTGGGAAATGGCTACTTTGGAGTGTGCTAGTGGGAAGGAGAGCAACTAAGAATCAGTGGGATCCAAAGGCTTATCAGTCCTAAACCATGTCCCTGACCTGTGAAAACATTTACAGCAGCTTTGAGCCAGACTAAACTGGGGTGGGCAGCAGCGGGGGGGGGGGGATTTTGAGCAAAAATGCAGGCAGCCCTATCTCCCTGCTACTTCTGTCCTGTTGGCTCCTGCCGATAAAGCATAACTTGGAGTTGAGTCTGACATGTGGGGCTCTGCTGCAGATCTTAGGATTGTTTCCTTGAACCCCATTGTTGCATTTTGCCTATTCCTGAAGACCTGTTGGAGAGTATGCATAATGCCCAGATAATGTGCAATATTCAGTCAAGATATGCACATTCCCCAAGGTCTATTAGAGATTATGCATAACATTTCAAAAAAGTGTCCTGTTTATTAACAGATACTATACATATCCTGCAGAAGATCTGAGGAATTTTGC